TGTACGTGTACGTGTACGTGTATATGTATGTATGTATGTATGTATGTATGTAAGTATGCATGTATGTATGTATGTATGTATGTATGTATGCATTTGCATGTTCGTATGCTTGCATGTGTGCATGTATGCATGTATGAAAACATACACAATGTATGTAAGCAACATGTGCATATATATATATATACCTCTGCTTCACGTAATTGGCAATGTTATATCAAGCACTATCAGTATCAGTACCAGGATCGTTGTCACTGTCATTGTTTCTAAAGCTGTCACTATCACTGCGACTATCATTATCACTGTGGCCAAATGACTTCTACTGCTATTACGATTGCCACTGCTTTTTGTAAATCACACACCCACACACACACACACAGTCCTGCATAATACGGATTTGCCATGTGGGTGGATGGACGGATAGTAGTAGTAATGTATGTGTAACTTCGCTTTAACAGTCCGCGAGGACGTGGGCGCTTGGTTGGCTGGAACAGGTCCCACCATTCAGAAGATTGCGGACGCGAGGAGTCAGCACCGTGCAAATCCGCTCAGGGTCTGAGGCGCTGAGGCTGAGTCGGTGCCTTTTATGCACAACTCGCGGATTTACTCGGGATGGCTCCGCTCCAGGAGCGAGAATCCAGGTGTAGAAGCTTCAAATAAAGCTGAGCTTCGTCTCGTCAGCAACAAGATCAAAGCAAGTCTCACTGCTACGCAAAGCAGGTTGGCTGACAGCTGAAGATATGCTGCACATCTTACCTTCGTGCTTCGACGTGTTAAGTTCATGCTATTGTGCCAGATCCGGAACGGACCAACTTAAATGTGTAACCTCTCCTACGCTCACCACGACGATGACTTTGTCTGTGGAATGGTTTAGCTCAAAAACAACAAAGATCACAGCAGTGTCACTCCAGCTGACACGGTGCCAACATCCTGCTTGCAGCATTGCTCTACAGTACCCGGTGCACAATGCAATTACACTCGGGTAAAAAGTCGAAACAGCTGAATCGCAACACGAGGTCACCAAATTGCAAGTCAGCAGACTGTCGTCGTAGGGCAGGAAAGTCGGAAAGCCCAACGACCTCAAGTTGCGCCCTTCGATGTGCTCTGAGCTGGATTGCGTTCCATTCACCGAACCGGCCTATAGGCTGATGGTGATGTCCATCAGAGAACCTCTCGGCAGTCCAGGAGGTCCATGAAATCTTTGGTCCAGCCTGGGATGCTGCAAAGCTGCGAAACTGGAAGCAGCTCGAATGGCCGCCTACTTCGCGCTTGAGGGTCCCTCCCCACTCAAGCGAGTCAGCCTGAAGCTTCAAAGGAATCCCACAGATGCAGCTTTGCCACTCGAAGGCTTGCTTTTGTGAGGATCCACCCAGAACGTTGTGCGCTGGCATCCTGGAAGCAATTCAAGATGGATCACTCGCTCGACAGACTGTCTTGATCAAACAAACATGCTCTGGTGGATTCCATGAACTCGTCCTCCTTACGCATTTGAATTATCATCCACTCCCTTTGCCGCGTAAGGCGAGTGCAGTTACATGCAGCTGAACTGAAGACGAGGTCGGTGTACGACGTCGGTCAGTGGCTAGCTACAAGCGGGAAATCAATTGCCAACCGGGCGTCGCAAAGTCTGACACCCATGGAGGCGACAGCCGGGATGACTCCTTCTGTGACCTCGCGAGCTATCGCACAATGCAAGAAGCTGAGTGACTTGGCAAGCGCGAACACGGGAGCTGTACATGTTGGCTAGATTCACAACAAAGAGAAATTTCTGAGTGACCCTGGGGCAAAAGATCGACCTCCGGGCACTCTGGGCATGTGGAGGCATGCAGCATGCAGCACCCGCTTATAACCTCGCTGCTGCGTCGAACTAAAAGCACTGACATGTGCGGCCGACCAACTCGCATGTCTCATTCTGCCAGGAAAAATCCATCAAGCAGCTCGGCCTTACAAGCAGGCTGAGACCGACCACGCAAAGAAACAACTCGTCCATTAGAGTTCGGTGCCGAGCTGCTGGAAGTACTGCCGAGGACACGCAACGGGCCTTGTGTCGGCAGACTTGCACGGCTATCCTACAAGGCATTCAATCCTCATCCCTGAACCCCGAACCCGTATTTTGCAAGAGCATGCTGGAACGTTTACAGGATTCTCGAAACAATCCGAGATCACGCTGACATGCTGTGCCTCGCTGATTCTGCTGACATGTCCAACCACAACGGCCATCCCGCGGGTTCCACATCATCCTGCCGTGCATATCACAGAGGACAAGGTCTGGAAAACTGCGCGACTTGGACCCCGGCCTGATCCAGGTCCACTGTCGGCTGTCTGAAGGTATTAGGCGGACAGGATGCGGACGAGATGGACGAGTCTTGCCTGGAAGTCTGTGAGGCTACGCTTGCGCAGCTTGCACAAGGGCACGGCCTGTATACAGAATCGGCCCCATCGCAGAGAGAAGACAGTGAAGGGTCCTTGTTCCCAACAGCCAAATTGATGTACACAAAATTTGACTGCACTTTGGTGCTCCGTCACCGACTTCTGCAGTCCTCTGCCAGCTTGAGACGGAGATCCATGCGGAGCTCTGACTCATCGTGAGCATGTCGGCCTAGGCTTCACTCCAGCAACTTCGACTGCTGCCGACAAAAACCACGAATCCCCTCGAGGCTCCGACAGGCCGCCCCCATTCGGCATTGTCGCATCAGGTGAAATTTGCCTAACAGCAGCAATAGCAGCAGAACCATTCAGGGTCATAATCCCCGGCATGTCTGTTGCAGAACGTGCAGACAAGAATCACATCGAAGTCTTGTAGAACCTTGGCGACAAGATCGATCACGTGCTGCATTGGTTTCTTGAAGTTTGTGGGAAAAAGCCTGCGCTCCCCTAATCCCCCCCGTCCCGCGCAGCATTGTTCCCAAAAACCCTGCATCATCGACCTTCTAGGATCGCACTCTTGCGGTGCTTCTGGATTCCTCCAAGGATCTTCTTCGTAGCACGCAGCTCTTGTACACCGTGCCTGGGACCAAACTAGTCGAGACTGAGGCTTCAAGACGTGGCTGAGGCATTTGATCGGAGGGTTAAAAGTCAAGAACACTCTCATGGACTATGCTGTCGAACTCCATGGCAGCTGCGAATTGCCTGTCCCATAATAGTCTGAACCCTTTCTGCCTAAAGCCTCCCGAACACACTTGCCCCAACCCTTGACTTTGAGCCTCACCCCGCAAGACACACTTCAAACATGCACAGCACTGCATGATCCTGCTAAACCTCTTATGCTGCAGCAGGAGTTGCGCAAAGAGGCAAGCGTCATCGTCGCAAGCCTTCGTTGTCAAACAAACACTGGTATATCTGTATTTGGCTACGACCACCTCCTAACAGCCGATGAGCTCAGCAGGTTCTCGACAAGATCGTTGCAAAAGACTGTGGGGCGATTTTGTCCTACACCCGCATCTGTGATTCGAAGTGGGAACGGTTGGCCAAGCTGCCCCAAATTGCATTAAGGCCGGGCAAAGCGATGTCTTGGTGAGATCTGGAAGCTGTTGTAGCTCGAAGCTTCCATGTGCAAAGGTGCCTCGGACAGTCGGCGGCTGGACTCTGATTCCGCTCATCATATAATATACTATATAATATAGTATAATATAGTATAATATAATAATATATATTATATAGTATAATATAGTATAATATAATAATATATATTATATAGTATAATATAGTACAATATAATATAATATAATACAATATAATATAATATAATGTCATGGTGGCAACCAAGCCCTGCCTGTGCCCATTAATACCTAGCATGCGAATGGCTAAGCTCGCGGCACTGAGCTCCGCGTGTGCATTTGCCCTTTTCCTCGGCCATTTCCAGAGTTGCTAGGGGCGGGGTCTGCAGATGTGGGGGTTTTGGCCCTAAACCCTAAGCCCTATATAAACCTGAAACCCTAACACCCCCAAGAGCGTTGACATTGCCCGGCCTTTCCGGCAGTGAGATGCCACCGGGCGACTAACGGAGAAAGCCGAGCGTCATAGAAAGAGCAAAGCTTCGTCTTCACAAATTGGTCTTCGTAGCGAGAGCGATCTCTGTTTGGTACCTTTCGAGGGACACGGTACGCTACTCCCTGCTTCTACTTCTATGGCTAAACTCCTAAGCCTGGAATGCAAATCCGTGTACCTTCGATGTCTTGACGCTTGAAGATTTTTTGGCCGTCATGCCCACCAGCAAATGCCGGGCCTCAGCATCGCGCAAATTCAGACTTGGTTGCGGGACTTCGAGTCTTTGACAGTTTAGGCTTCTGGGTAGCTATGCTGCGCCCTGCCCCGTAGTGCTTGGTCGCTCGCTCAAGGAGCAGTGGCACGGGCCAGAATCGCCGCTCAGGCTACCCGTGGTCACTGGTTGAAAATGAATGAATGGCTAACGGTGCCAGAAATTGGTGTGATGTCGAACTGCTTTAGCCCTGCTGAAGGCGGCTAAGCGTGGCAACCAGAGAGCAGCCAAGAGCAGATCTGAGCCAAAGCTGGAGAATTACGACGGCCTTTTCACCAATGGGACGAACTGCATCTTCAGACATGTTTGGGCTCCCATACTTGGAGCTCTTAAAGCTTCCGAAAACGCCCGGGAAAGCAAAGGATCTCTTTCAAAACATCAGCCCTAAGACATCGTCAGAAAAAAGGGTACTGTACCCCCCTTACAAGGAACACACGGTGCACTCGGACTCGGCCTGTTGAAGATGCCTGTGGAAAACCGTAGCCTGGCAGAGAACTCCTAGGCCCCTAGGAGTTCGCCTCCAGCCATTGGCAACCTTAAACTCACTCGGGCCCTACGTGAACGTAGGCGAAAGGGCCCTGCAATGCCCTACAAAGCGTGAACGCGGCCAGACATCCGGAAGGCTCTTCTCAGAGAGCGCTCTGCAGTCGAGGCATGAAGCATCTGGTTGAAACCAGCGAGCGGAAATGCCGCGCCTTCCGCCGGACAGGCCCGTGTGGTCCTTCCATTCAACTGGGATAGGCTGGGCACGCTCTCGTCAGGCACGTGTACGTGTTTAGACATGCCTAGTGATCTGCTCCAGTGCCTGGCATCGTAGCTAGTAGTTTATGCTGCCAGGAACATCGTAAGCATCTTCGGCGCGCCGACTTATGCGGGAAGCTAAGACAAACCAAAGCAGAAAATGCGAGCCACTGGCTTTGCTGCACATGTCTTCTGAGTGGGATGAACTGCATGACTTTCGGAAGTGGCGATTCAGATCACATGCTTCAGTCCCAGACTGCAGCTCTGGATAGCCCTTTTGCATTTGATCTGCCTGCGGCTTGTTGGTGCTGAAGATGTGGCCAAGAAATCTGCTGAAAGCGGTGGAAGAGTTCAACTTCAGTTCCTGGCGGGGGGTCACAGTTCAAGGCCGTTCCACAGCACTATCATAAGAAGCAAGACAATGTCCGCAGTCAGGAGAAGTCAGGCCTCCACTCGCTCCACAAGCTGTTGCAGAGTTCCTTCTCTTTGTCTTTGCATAGCCTCGAGACTCTGTCAACCGTCGCTGCCCAGCTTGAAGGGGAAAAAAGGTCGGCAGAACGTCAAGAGGCATGGTCATGCGACTTGTCGCAACAACTGATGTACTCTGGACCTGTCTGGCACAAAAACTGGGCATCCTGCTTCATGCATGTCTTGCGAGAAGGACTTCACAACCTGGCATAGTCATGGCACTCAGGGCCAGCATATCCGGCATCCATCAATAGGAAACGCCAAAGGAAGGAAACCTCAGCTCAGCCGCCCTCCAGACTTGGCCTGGTGCTGCTGATCTCGTCGCTCTTTCATGTGGTTCGACGTGTCCATCATCAGCACCTTCAAGTCTTCAGGCAGACAGCGCCACCCCTGCACTGGCTTTGGCGATGGATGTGATGGTCGGAATTCGCGACGCCGGGATGCCTACTCCGAAGTGCCCAACACTCATACGCAAATGTCCTACTCGAACGATCGAAAGTTCTGCAAACCACAGGCCCCCGCCATGTCTATGTTCTCCATCGTGACAAACGCGCTGATGATCGTGTCCGGCTGCAGGAACGTCTTGTACAATGCAACCTTGTCACACCGAATGGCACCGCATCAGAGCGTGGCAAGCTTCAGCTTATCCTGCTTGAAGTCACATGCCTCATGTTAGCTCTTCGTCAAGCTGAGTTTCTCATGACCGGGCGCATGTCTATATGTATGCGCTCAGGCCGCTAGATTCAGCTTCGCACTCTCGGCTGCTGAGCATCTGGCCCAAACTCCCAAAACAGCCTGCACCAGGCGACACAGGGAAAGAACATGGCCCATGGCCGTGCGTGTCTCCCTCAGAACTGGAAAGAGCCTGGCAGATGAGGCAGGTCAGGATGACCTGGAATGTTTGCAAGGCCCTTTGGAACCCATGTGCTGGCATTACAACAGCTACTGACTGCTGCTGATAACATGGTGGGTCAGGAAAAGCGTGGGCAAGACACGTTTTGGAGCCGATTCTGGCGATCTCGTTGCCGCTGCCTTTTCCGATGCTGCTTGCCGGTGGCAACCTGGCATTCCCGAAGCCCTAAAGCTGCAGCCAGGACCAATGGAAGACATGATAAGACTCACAGCCGAATCTGTGGAGGCGACGATGAGTTGCTGCATGTAGCTCTCGTCGAGCAGCGCATCCACATAATCCTCTGGAACTCCTTGCAGCTCGCAGCGACTCTGTACCGACACATGACACATGCAGACTTCGCCGGAGACTCCTCGCCGGAGCATGTCGAGGCGCGATGGCCGGCTGGACATTCGGCCAGGCGATGCCATGGCGGCTTATGTAGGGAATGCTGGCAATTCTTCCAGTGGCTCGAGGAGTCCTCCACGGCTACAACGTTGCAGGGTCGGGTTGCGATATCTGGAGAGTTGCTGAAGCTCTGCTGGGTCTGGGGGCTTGAAATGGGCCGACATCGACCAGCCTGGGAACAAACGACATCACCCAGTTGGCACTCAGAAAAAGCACACGTCTCGGTTTGTAAGTTCGAGCAACAGCTGCGCATACACGTTGTCGGAGCCTCGCATGGGAGCAGACAGAAGTCTCTCGTGAGATTCAAGGCATTCTGGGGTCGGTTGTCACCGAGCTGTCTTGTGGAGAGAGCAAGCGGAGCCTGCCACTGGCTTCTCTGATAATTTTCGGCTTACTCGCCTTCATGCCTGCGCTTTCTCGAACTGGGCTGGCTCTCTCGTTGCTGCCCCCCGGCTCGAAACCGAAACTCAACAAGGCCACTGCCCCTGCTCAGGTTGTAAGAAAGCACCGCTTTTTCCGCTGCCCGACCTGACTTGGCTGCGTCTCGGGCACGTGTTGGGGCAAGGGAGAACACACACTCAGTTGTCACTACTGTCATTTCTACTCTGCGTGAATCGTTGTGAGATGCATCCTTGAGGGCAAAGACCCCAGCCAGCCCCCTGCTTCCTGGTGCGTAGTGGGCGACATCCGTCAAGCAGTACCAGTGTACCGGGCTTCCCGCGAGCAGACGACCGAACTCATTCCCAGCTTCTGCTCTTTTGCCATGAACTCCCTCGTTTGAGCTACGCTGGATCACACTCCCTGAACGCGCCAGGCTTCATCAATGGAGGCCGATCGAAAAGAAGAGACGGACCATGTAAACTCAGACATGCAAAAGCAACGGAGAAGGTGGCACGCAAGTGCTCTGAGAAATATCGGCCAAGGTGTGTGTCTCCCTAAGTTCAAGCTCTCCCGTGGCCATTGGATCTGATGCTGACGAGGATCTACACAACATGCAGCTCAAATGGCTGCCTTTACAGTGGTAGTGACTCACTGTCGCTAAGCACTCCTCCCTGTCTGACTGATGTTTGCAGTGGAATACTGACAGCCTGGAGAAGTCTTCCAGCGCTCACATGATTCCGATACTTGCACTTCGTCTCTGCATGTCTTTTGCGTGTGCCGCAATGTCCCTCAGCTATTGTCGTGAGTCTGAAAGGCAAGGCTAGCAATCTGCAAGGCAAAGAGACAGAGCAGCATCCTAAATCCGTGCTGTAGAGTTTCCGGCGGACTGAACGCTCACCCACGCGCTTTTTCCTTCAAATTTCTGGAATCCAACTCTGAAGCTTGAGGCTCCTTGAAACAAGAAGCCCTCTGTCGCATTACTAAGCCGGCTGCAGGCCTGGCTGATCCTGGCTGCCTAGCGCCGTCGATTCTGCTGGAAGGGCCTGCCTTTTGCGAGTGGCTCCCTCCTGACGGCGCCCTGGTGCTTCTGGAACTGGTGCTTCTGCACCTGACCCACCGAGCCCTTTGCAATGACTTTGGGCAGAGGGACCACCACGCTTTTTACGTCGCGGCTCTGCCCGGCGGGTGCTACGGAATCATCGTCATAGCTGTACTCGTCTTCGTCGCTGTAGTACTCGTAGCTCGAAGACTGCTCTTCTGCAGGCTTGTGAAGGGGGAGTTTGGGACGTTGAGGCGGGGAAGGAGGCCTCCGAACCTGTGGAAGGTTGCCGAGGTTCCGGGGGAGCGGAGCCGGGGGAGCTTGCAGCGGAGCGTGTCGGTTTCGCTGGGCCGGGTTGCGCTGATAATTCGGAGGCTCACGGATGGGAGAAAGACGGCGTGGAGCTCGAAGGGGCTGCCGGGGCTGCTGCCGAGGCTGCTGTCGAGGCTGCTGTCGAGGCTGCTGTCGAGGCTGCCTTCTCGGCCTAGGCGGGGTTGGCGCCTTGCGTGGGGGAAATGGTTCTGTTCTTCGAGCTGGGGGGGCCTGAGCCTGTCGTCTGCGTGGTGGGCCGGGAGGGCTCGGCACCCGGGTGACTTCACGGACGTTACGAACACTTGGCAAACGCCGAGGTGGGGGAGAGAAACGCTCGGTGAGTCGTACCCGGCTTGGTGGAGGGGTACGGCTCCGCGAGTCACGCCGTCTGCCCTCTCGGAACTCCTCGTGGGAATGGTATCTGTCGGAACGGGTACGATCTTGTGTGATGGTACGATGGCTTCTGTAGTCTCTTCCAGCTGCTTCGTCGTAACCGTTGCTGCCGGAACGACCATATCCAGGATCTTTGTTGTAGCCCCTGTGATCATAGCCATTCCTGTCCGTGTGGTTGCTGCCATAACCATTGCTCCCGTAAGCACTACCAGTGTAAACATTCTTGCCATAATCGTTCTGGTCGTGCTTGTATCGGTCGCGGTACTCATAGCTGGCGGACTGCCATGGGCTCCACGATGTGCCGTTGTTTTTCCAGTCCTTGTTGTCATCCAGTAGGAAAGGCAAGTGGATCCGTGCACCGTGCTTACAATACCGATTCGTGCAGCGTCTTCCATCTTCACGAAAGCACACTGAAAGCTCGCCATCGCGGCAGCGACGTGCAATTTCCGATGCGCCCTTGAAGTTGTGCTCCATACGGAGCCATAGTGGCCGCGAATGCTTCTCCGGCAGGTGCGCGGCAGCCTCTCGGACCAAGAGCCAGCCACCCTGTTCTGAGATCCAGTTATGGCTCAAATGGACCTCCCACAGACGAGGGCAGTGCTTGAAGATGTGCATGAGGTCGTCTTCGACCACTGCATCATCAATGAGATTGTGATGTAGCTTCAGGATCTTCAGCGAGGGGCACTTCTGGCAGAATTTTGCCACTTCCCGAGCTGCATCACCTTCGAGCTTGCAATGTGCCAGGTTCACCTCCGTGAAGTCATAGAGACCTCCGACACTCCGACATGCACAGATGTGCCCAACGCAGGGCATTGGCTGAAGTATCTTCTTGCTGCCAAGTGCACCGTTCTCATTCGCTTGTTCCTGATTTCACACGGGGCTCTCGACATCACGGACTTGCATTCGCAGGTCAAGCTTCCCAAATCCACTGCCAACTCGCCCTGTGAGGCACTTCTCCAAACATTTACAGTTCATGGCGCTCCTGTCCCAAGTACCACTGGACATCTGACAGCTTCTTCATGACTGTCCTTGACAGATTGAGGACCTGCGAGCGCGAGTGAACACGAGCTGCCAGTGAGGGAATGGCATGCTACTGTCGCAGAAACGCATCGATGCGAAAAGCCGTCTGCTTGCAACAGCAAGCCTTCACGCGTCCATCTTCCTGACACACGACAGGCATGAAAGACACTGAACTATTCACGGTGCTGCCGAAACTCTGCTTGCTCGCATGTGAAGCCGAACTGAAGACGATCACTCGGTGAAGTCAGGAAGCTGCTGGTAGCTCATTGCTCTCGAAATGGGATCCGCCACCGGTGTCGTTCTCTTCTTCTGCCCTGAGGTTCGGGACATGGAGCATCACAGCAGCCCAAAACCCAGTCTGAGAACGGCGCTGACTGCCAGCTGGACCTGAAGCAGCAGCCCTCAACAGATCCTTATGGATTCTCGAAGTCGCATCTTCAACGCTGAGCCCCGAGACCGTGCTGGCTTTCTGTGAGCTCCTGGTTGGTTTCATCTCTCAGTTCACTGTCTGCTCTACCCAGAATAGATCAAATGAATGCAAGCAGGGCAGATCCTCTTGCAGCGCGCTCGGAGCTGTGAAATCGGCATCCTCGCGGTGTTCCAGATTGCCCTGGCGACGTCAGCTGCAGCTCTTGCACTGTAGCATGGCCGTCATAGTACCTTCCTCGTCGACAAAATACGGCACCATCTTATTCATCTTATTCTTCATCATCACCGAACCATCAGTCGAAGGTCTCTGCTCTCTCTGCTCGCAGCCTGGTCATTGCTGTCGTAGTCGACGGCATCCGCATCAACGTCGCCGCCTGCTTCGACCTGACAGGTGAAACGCTCGCCGCGGTTTATCATTGCACTCCGAGCCCTGTGAAAAGTTGCAACAGGTCGTTGTCTCCGTCATTGTCGTGATTGACGTCTGGTCATGGTAGGAGTGGAGGTGGTTGGAGTGCTACCCCGACTACCGCCACCACCAGCGCCGCCGCAAGTAATCCCAGCATGAGCAATACTCAAGATGGATAGTTGCGAGTTTCCCCATTATTGGGGGGGGGCGGCATTCTGTAACAATTCCACATGTCAAGGGGCTACTGCCGTCTACTGCAATGCATTTGCTTCGTGATTTCGTTTGGCTGGCGGTGCTGGCAGTGGAACACCACTCGTGACGGCGCTCGTGGTACTTGCACCGGCACTGGTGTCGTCGTACCGGCACATAGGTCCGCTGGCCTCTTCCTCCTTTACGTCCATCAAAGCCTTCACAGAATTGTGAAGCTCGACCGCAACGTCTGTTGCAAGTGCAGGAAAAGCGCAGGCAAGCGATGAATCCGTGATTAGAATTCTTCCGTCTGCCTCCTCGGCTTCAGGCTCTTCAGCTTGATCTGGCTGGTCAAGCTGATCATGAGCCTGCCCCGCGGTGTCGCGTTTCTTCAATCATGTGCAACATGGATACCAACATCCTTAGATGGATCATGTAACACTGCGCAGCGCCATGTTCCACATTACCCAGTTGCGACTAGATGCCAACAGCTGTCGCTCTACGTGTCATGCATCTGCAGCTTGCGTTCAACCTCTAGGAGAACCGTTTGCCACACTATTGGGATCCCTTGACACCGTATTCACTTTTGCTGCTAATGCATATGGGATACCTCACAACAGTCTGTACTTGACTAGTCGATGACGCGGGCAGTGGGCCACAAGTCTGAAATCCCCTCTGTAATTGCGACTAGCAGAAAGATTGCAACGCCGTCCTCTTCGGTGCTTGCTGCTTCTGCCATCTCGGCAGAGCACGAAGCAAGCACTTGAACGTCAGTAATAGCGTTGGACTGCTCTTGGTTTCAGGGTCAAGTAATGAAGATACGGGTGTGGTTGTGTTTTATGCTCGTGAGGTTGCTCGACTGCATCAGCACTTGGGTCGTTCTTGAACCAGAATGCGGCCGCTTCATCATTCTCGGGACTGTGGAGAACTACAAGCTATGTGCAATGTGCAATGTGCACTGATGAACACAGCATATGCTCAACATGCACTGCCCCGTTGGTAGACTCGTTCCAACTCTCCTCCAATGGGGCCAGAAGTCCTGATAATACGTCTTTCTTCTCGAAACATGCCCTGAACCACACGCCCCAAGCACTCGACCGGGCACTTGGCCATCAGCCATGTCGTGGCAGACACTGAAAATGTGGCTTTTGGTCGCGAAGCGCAACCACTCTGTCGGTCCAGTACTCATCGCACGACGTGAAGTTTCAAGCATTGCACGGGAATGCGCCAAATGCCTCGGGATGCTCACAGGACTGGGATCTTGGAGCGAGGTAGGAATCAAGTCAAATGAGACGAGGGCTCTCTGATGTTTTCCAGAAATGTCCAGAATGGCGATCAAAGCGCCGCTTGATAGGCGAATTTGTAGACATAGCCTTCAGGCCGTCAGACTGCCAGGCTCCGCGCTTCGTGTGCGCACGGCTTGTTGCTAAGTCTGTAGCGTCCCCACGGATCTTCAGAATCGACACGAAGGTGCCAAGTCCCACTCAACCGCTCGAACCACGCGAGCTTCTTCCCTGGCGCTGCTTCCATCAGCTTCTCCAAGGTCTAAGTGGGGGCGGGTCATGTTGGCCCTTGTGGGATGTTGCTCCTAGATTCGCTGGACCACTATGGTCCTGCTGCCGATGACCGATGAAGCGTTGCATCCGGTTTGGTGCTGCCGGGTTGCCAAGATCAGCTTTGGGATGGTCCACTGCGTCTGGGCATCTACGTGGCCTTCGCTGGAAAACAAGCCGCCAAAAGCAGTGCCACATACTGATTGCACACGCAACGAATTTCCAAACATCTGGGAAGCACCTTGTTGAGACATGCTCTGCAAGCCGGCATGGTTCAGATCAGCAATCACCTCAGTCTGTTGTCAGAGAGCGCCCAACATAGGCTCCCCGGATCTCAATGCCACTGCGATATCCAGCAATCACACGACCACGATTTGCAGTGCAACAGAGCAGGATAGTTCCGTGAGTTGTTGCGAGCGCAGAAATCGCAGAACCGCTCTACAAAATTTCCAGAGTCGATGCATGTCATGTTTCGCACAGATGCTCACAGGCACTGAGAGGAGAGGGCAAACACAAGTGCGAAGCATGGCACTCGCAAGCACTCGAGCATCAGCGAAGCACACTGCCGCTCCGCAGGTCCTGAAAGGCCCAGCAAAGCCGCGCAAATCCGCAGCAACTTCGTTTCTCCGTGGACGTCTTGTGGAACATGGGTGCACCAGAGTGTTCAAGACCCGACCAGACCTGCCGGTCCTGAAAACTTCGCCTTGATCTCGAGCATGCTGACCGCGCTTTTGAGTGCTCGATGACTTCGGGCGATTCTGGTACTGGCGCGTGCCAAGCCATGGCCAACGAAGGAACCTGCGAGCGCGCGGCATCAAAGCAGATGAGGCCGCACTCCGGCCACTCCTGCCTGTGGCAAGCTTCAGGGCCCGAAGGGCGGCAACGAGAAAGAGCCTTTCTTGGACAGAGTCTGGCCACACACCTGCAGGAAGTAACGACAAGAATCTTCAAGAACCGCAAGACCTCGGTCAGCGCGGTAGAGTCCATCCGGATTCCAAACGGGACCAGCCTGTGCCGAAGCTGAGGGGATCCATCGCCTCGTAGAGTCCACTCAGAGGCAGCCCAAAGAGCCGAGTGTACCAGTGAGAGGAGCCACTGGCATTGGCAACCTCAGGGAACTCCCCTGAGATGGAGCCTACATTGCAAGCCGCCTTGATCTTACGGACAGGTACTGCAAGCGGAGCGTAAGGAGAAGCTGTTGGCCGCAGGTTCCAACACGAGTGCTGCCGAGGTGCCTTCCCTTCGTGAGCCATGTCCGAACGGAAAAGCGCCCGCGCAACCAATGCTGCCGGACGATGCGCAGATCTGAGCTTCCGCTTGCGCGGAAGCTCCGTCTTCGCTCCTCGCAGATTGCGCATGAAGCAATGCCAGTGGAGCTGGGCTTTCTGCCTGGCCCCGGCCTTGCCAAGGGCACTCGGCATATTCAGAAAGAGGACTTGAGCAGAGGGTTGAACCATGACCGCCGTTCGTGAAGTAGCCGCGGCACCCAAAGTGAACCTGGGCTCTTGGATACCTTCTCTTTTGGCATCTCCTGGATGCTCCCCTAAACCCCAAAACCCTAAACCCCAAACTCCAAGCCGAGAATCCCAAACACCACCATGCACGCAGCCGTAGTTCTGGTGCAGAACACAGGGCAGACTGCCCTTTAGCTGCTGGATCACGCGAGCAGAGCACGCCGTCTCCTTCCGCCTGGCACCATCACATGAGTATTGGTGATGAGTGTTGGTGTTAGCAATAGTAACGTATTCGTGTTAGAATTAGTTACTGTATTTGTGCGATTATTGCTGTTATTATTCTTCTTGTTCTCATCCTTCTTGCTATTATTATTGTTATTAATTGTTGATGCGTAGTGTGTAAGGTTTGGACGACTGCTCAAGTATGCCATTCCTATTACAATGACAATGGTTCTCGCGCATCCACAACGCTGACAGGGCCTCCTCCTCAGGACAATTGTGTTTGCATTCCATGGGCAACAAAGCAATCCTCCAAGAGCTCCAAGGTGGCGGCCTCAAAAAAGAAGGGACCCATGCCATGCCATGCCATGCAAATGCACGTTTTCCTCTCACCATTTCAGCGACCTGAGCCTCAGTAGGCCCACGGCTAGCATCCCTGTCAACAGCGTAGCCTTGCACGATCATATATGCATCCTTGTTCACAAAAAGGATCAGGTAAAGGCCTCGATGGCGAAGAGCTCGAACGAGATCCCGTCGTTTCGCATCTTGCAAGGGCCTCTCGACAGAAGTTATTGGCAGAATCTTCATCGAGCTAGTCTTGCATATCATTGCAAAAGAACCACGATTCAGAGCGACATCAGAAACCCACAATCTGATGATGCGGAATGGACTGCATCGTTGTCGTCTGGTCCTTTGCAACACGACTTCATCATCTAGACTAGACCTCTAGGCAACCGCATGGGGAACCTTCCATCAGCTAGGGAATGCCTCTCTCTGTCTCTTCTTCTTGTCTTGCTTTGTGACTATGGGGTCTGCCAGCCGGCCCCGCTGCCGATCGCCCGGGATCTCGGGCGAATACGTCTGTGCAACAACGATACCTCTGCAACAACGACGACACTGCGTCGTGTGGGCAGGATCTTCGTTCTTGCAAGGTCTCGGGAGTGTGCCAAACACCCCGGGCCCTTTCAGTCGCGCTCCCATCGTCGAGTTTTCGAGCAATGGCTGAGCAATTACCCTCCCAACATATGTCTTTCCGCTCGACCCGCCCCTATTATCACCGAGCTCGGCAGGTGCCGGCACGGTGTCAGACAGGGTAAGAGGCAACACCGGCACTTGGCATTAGCATTCTAAGATTCGGGCCTCCTGGAGCTGGCACAGCATTGCTTGGTATTTGCAAACCAGGTCCCATTCTGGTCAAGCCCTCGGTTTGGTTGCTTCCTCGCCTTCCCCTTCACGAGTCGGAAGTAGATCTTGCACGTGGGTTCGAGGCCTCGTCTTTCTGCGGCCGGCATGCTCTCAGCAGAAGGATTGCTCCGAAAGCATGCTCAAGCGCTTACAGCTCGCCGACGACCGAGGGTTCAGGTCAACTCCCCGAGCACCAAGGCTCACCCAGGTGCGGTGCAACTGTACTGTTTGAGTCGAAATAGCTGCTCTTTCACATCTCCATCTCTCCCCGTGATTGGTTGCTTGCGTGTTGTTCTCGACTCACTTCTCGATCTGGTGCAGGTCATGATCCTTTTCTCTCTTTCGCTCTGCTACAGCTTTCGGGGGCGTGCGCGCGCGTGTGTGTGTGTGTGTGCGTGTGTGCGCGCGTGCAGACATCCGAGAGGCAGGCATGCTCCGACATATACCGCTCAAACTAGACAAGGCGCCAGCGCGAACACACATCTAGCGGAAAGCTATGGTCAAGCTGCCAACCTGCCAACCGGCATGGTCAGAATGACGCCCTCCAGGCCCAGGCTGAGCGTTCTTGCGAGCCTCTGCGGAGTGCGTTTCTCGGGTTTGAAATCTCGGATCCGTCTGCATGGCAGGCCTTGGCAGCAAGTGGCGCGGGATCTCCGGAAGGAGATTGAGAGCCTCGGCTTGTTTGGGCCTAGCACACCGTGGCGGAAGGTCGGCCAATGAACACCAAGCCACCAGTGCCCAGTCGCTCTTCGAAACACCTTGCAACCAGTGGCACCAGACCTTCGTCTCCTTTGAGCCGAGAGCCTGGTGTCACACGGGCTTGAAATGTGATTCGGCACGGGAGCGACACCGCCTTCAATTCTGGATCAACTCGAGGAGTCAGTGGCACCTCTGCAACAGCCAGCTTTGGCCGGCAAGACATGCTCGATTGGGACTTGGAAGCTGCCTCCCACCTCGGCCCCAAGACATGCTGCCTCTGCCCACGCACCCAGGCCACGCGGATGCACAACATCGGCACACAGTCCACGATGTTCAGCAGTGAACTCCACCATGCAGTTTCCTTACGCTTGGTGCACTGTTGAGCGGAGGCGGCGACCATCTCATTATCCGTCAACAGTGTATGCCAGGGTGCCATCTATGGCCACCGCTGGCAGGCCCCAGCGTGCCAGCTGCTCCTCAGCTTGAATGCCAGAGAAGAGAAGCCAACCACGCCTTTGCTCTGGCCGCCGTTACATTCAAAACCAGGCATCTGCCAAAGCCCCACGTCCAGCCCCCAGGATCAAAATCTTTGGTGGTCGTGAATGGCCTCGAGATTCCTTCCGTCATGGCATGCGTGACAGCCGTGCATGGAGCAAGTCCAGCGTGCCTTCGCCCCCCATTCCGCCAAGAAGAAATCGGCCAGACCGGCTGCAAAGATCCCATCGTACAGAAAGAGTCGAGTTTCCGTTTTCGCGCTTCCAGGAGATGCAGCCTGCCCGAAGGAGGTGGTTGCAGATGGCACCACATGCTCAGAGACTCTTGAGAATTGCAGACATGGAATGGTTGATGCGCGGTTTCGCACCTGCCGCTGCAAGTAGGCTTGAAACATGCTTCCCTTCAAGGCTGAGGTGTCCCAGTCGTGTGTCCAATACCCGTGAGGGTGACGCTCGGGTAGCTGCTTGCAGGAGGAGTCCGGAATCCTGCGGTGCCATGCGGTGCCAACTTCTGAAATCTCGACAACCATCCGCACAACTCTCTGTCGAGCGGCTGAGTGAGGTGGCTGAAGCAGATGTCACTTCTCAGTCGGACGGTGACTCCGCGATTCGCTGAAGCCTGCAGTCGGCAAGAAAGCCCCGTAACTCGCACGATCTCGTAGCAGGATTTCGCATTAGTTTGCTGCGTGCCTGGAATGTCAGCATCCGAGCTTCGAGAACGTTTTCTGGTCCTCGTTCGGCACCATGTTGGCATACACGTACACACACATACCGGCTCACACACACACACACAGAGCCACCCAGCCACCCAGCCACCCAATGGGCCTCCTCTGCCCCCCTTGCTTTCTTGAGCACCAATGCCGCCAATATTCTTCGCAGGACACAGGAGTTGCACACACACACACACACTCACACTTGGAATGACCCTCAGTACGACCGAAGTCATACCATGGGTTCGCAAGCTAGTTTCATTTCTTCAATCACATCTTTTCAATCACATGTCTGCACAACATACCGATGGGCTGCCGATGGGCACAGACGAAGAAGCAACAGCTTTGATGGTACAACTTTGGGCGCCCAAGCCGGTACAGGAGTTGGCGTCCCAACTCTCATCATGGATCATTGCAAGTGTCTTCGTTGCCGCAAGACTTGCAACGTCCCTTGTGCCCACCGTTATTTTGACATGCAGGGCCCCGTCGTCTCAGGGTGGTACACACATGCACACACACACACACACTCGAACTCCAGGCAAACCCTGGTGTGAGTTCTCACGAGTGATATCAACTCCAATCAAAGTCAGAGACTCAGAGGAGGCATCAAAGAATGTAAAATGTTGTGGGAGGTCTTCAACAGGCTCGAGTTCCCTT